TGTATAGCTATGCATTGCATGTGTGGTGGAATGTATCGGTGTGATTGTGAGTTGGTAGAGGAGGAAGTCGATGCTTAGAATTAGTGAATTGACGTGACGGAAATCGTGATGCTGAAACTGTTTGCTTCATCTCTCTTTTCGTTCCCATTTGTAGAGCCAACGATATTGGACGTGGAATTCGTGATCTACATCGAGGAGCTGTCTACACCGATGCGTTGGACAGACAACCTGACAGATCCAACGACTTCTGAATTCAGAGGCCTGTCGATTTCATCTTGTGACCTGGTAGGTGTGGAGTGGTTATTACGCCTCGGTATCGCTATACTCATATCAGTGTGGCTGTGTATCTGCTATCTAGTTTCCCTTTCTCTCTTGAAAACAATAGGTTGAGTGGTGTTTGACGGTCGAGCGTGGGCAACGTGAGTGTACGAATCTTGGGTTAAGTGTCGGTCGGTGTGAATGAAACAAGCGCATGGGTGATATTCTTCGTGTGATGAGTGGAAGAGCACTGGTTGACTGAGTTGTTTGAGTGTAGGCGATTCGACAGAGAATAGTAGAGACAGAGTGGGTAGGATGAGTTGTTATTGCATGCTGAGTTGGAGAGGGGCAGCGTGGAGTACACTGAGTGTTCTAGGATGTAGAGGAGTGTGTTTCGGAAGTGTGAATTTGTGCGTTGAGGAGGCATACAGAAGCAGGATTATTGTCTGAGTAAGCAGTTGTGCGCGTGACTGGTTCAGTGTTGAGTGAGTTCAGCTGCCATTCTCGGAGGCGAAGTTTCGATTTCACCAACCCGACTGCGGTGAGTTGAGTGGTGAAGACGTCGGGAGTCTGACAGGCTTCTCTGTGTTAGAAGATCTGTCCTCGTGGTCACTGGTGAGAAGCCTGCTCACACTAATCAGCATGATCACGTCAATCGAGGTGAGAAGGGAATTCATGATAGTACACAACCATTTGATATGAAGGAGCATGACTGATTGCGTTTCCCTTCTGATTCTCGTCTTTTATCTTCCAGCTGCTACGAAGCCTACAACTGGCTGACGAAGAGATATCTCGAGGTGCCACTTGTGTCAATGTCGTCTTCATTCGAATCCTTATCTGGATTGGGTTGAGTGTTGGGAACACAAGCACGGGAATTGAGCATGTGTCAATGGACGGTGTGCAAGCTATTGTGACCGTCGAGCTACTCTCACGGAATGCCTCAGAGCTGAGTGACAATGATTTCACAGATCTTCTGATCCAGGGTTTCAGCAGGCTGAATATTTCCAGTGGACCGAGTCTGAGAAACGTCACATCATATCGTGAGTCATTAGTCATTGTGTTTTGTGCATGTAATGGTGGATTTGAATGGAGTGTTGTGCTATGCAGCCAGACAGATGGCGTGAGGTTGATTCTACCGTATCGCCTGTCTTCTGCATGTTCCTCTCACTTGTCGATTGGACTGCTGGCTTTCTGTCCACTCGTCCACTGGTCCGTGTGTGCGTGTGCGTGTGCGTGTGCGTGTCGTGCGTGAATGTTTGCCAGCGCATATGTGTGCTTGCGCGCGTGCGTGTGTTTACACCGACATGGGAATCAGGTGTGGAGATGATGAGTGAAAACGACTGTTTCATCTGGTTCGATATGACTGATCGATAGTCTCGTTTGGTGTGGATGGAGATGATGACTATGCGGTTTGACTGAGGTGATGAGGAGAATGATGACTTGTTGCTGTCTGTTGTGGAGCTTTGTGTTCGTGATGCCACGTGATCGCGGTGACACAGATTGTGAACTCATTTTGAGATGTTTTCGAAGTGATGACGAGTGGTTCAATCCTAATTCTCTGTATATGTGTTGTGTTTTTTTGTTTTATTTCTACTGCTGCACAGATCCGTCGGCAAGAATTTCAACTGTGCGGAGCACACCTGAGCAGAGTGATGCCAGTATCTCAAGACAATTCACTACACCGTCATCGACTGCCACAAGTTTGGGTAGGTTCACAGTTTCGCAGTCACATTTGTTTCGTGGACATTTCGACACGCATTCGCATGTGAAAGACGGATGTTTTGTCAGGGTTGAGTGGATTAGAGTTGACTGATGTGATGATTGATGCTGATGGTGTAAGTGAGTGTGTCTTCGCAAATAGAATGTGAGGTGAAGACTAGTGATCAACACTGACTTCACGATGATTGCTTCTTTGTGTTTGTGTTGTTCTTGTTGTTGTTGTGGTTGTTGTTGTCGCCCTTGTCGTCGGCGTTGCTGATGCTGGCGCTGCTGCTGTTGATGATGACGATGATGATGAAGAAGAAGAAGAATTTGTTATTGTGGTTGTTGTTTGCTTGCTTTCTTTCCTGCTCGATTATGTGTGAATGTGCGCGCGTGCCTGTGTTTGTTCATGAGTCTGAGCGTGATTGTGAATGTGGATGTGTTTTGGAAGGGTGGACTATAGATGTATAGCTATGCATTGCATGTGTGGTGGAATGTATCGGTGTGATTGTGAGTTGGTAGAGGAGGAAGTCGATGCTTAGAATTAGTGAATTGACGTGACGGAAATCGTGATGCTGAAACTGTTTGCTTCATCTCTCTTTTCGTTCCCATTTGTAGAGCCAACGATATTGGACGTGGAATTCGTGATCTACATCGAGGAGCTGTCTACACCGATGCGTTGGACAGACAACCTGACAGATCCAACGACTTCTGAATTCAGAGGCCTGTCGATTTCATCTTGTGACCTGGTAGGTGTGGAGTGGTTATTACGCCTCGGTATCGCTATACTCATATCAGTGTGGCTGTGTATCTGCTATCTAGTTTCCCTTTCTCTCTTGAAAACAATAGGTTGAGTGGTGTTTGACGGTCGAGCGTGGGCAACGTGAGTGTACGAATCTTGGGTTAAGTGTCGGTCGGTGTGAATGAAACAAGCGCATGGGTGATATTCTTCGTGTGATGAGTGGAAGAGCACTGGTTGACTGAGTTGTTTGAGTGTAGGCGATTCGACAGAGAATAGTAGAGACAGAGTGAGTGGGATGAGTTGTTATTGCATGCTGAGTTGGAGAGGGGCAGCGTGGAGTACACTGAGTGTTCTAGGATGTAGAGGAGTGTGTTTCGGAAGTGTGAATTTGTGCGTTGAGGAGGCATACAGAAGCAGGATTATTGTCTGAGTAAGCAGTTGTGCGCGTGACTGGTTCAGTGTTGAGTGAGTTCAGCTGCCATTCTCGGAGGCGAAGTTTCGATTTCACCAACCCGACTGCGGTGAGTTGAGTGGTGAAGACGTCGGGAGTCTGACAGGCTTCTCTGTGTTAGAAGATCTGTCCTCGTGGTCACTGGTGAGAAGCCTGTTCACACTAATCAGCATGATCACGTCAATCGAGGTGAGAAGGGAATTCATGATAGTACACAACCATTTGATATGAAGGAGCATGACTGATTGCGTTTCCCTTCTGATTCTCGTCTTTTATCTTCCAGCTGCTACGAAGCCTACAACTGGCTGACGAAGAGATATCTCGAGGTGCCACTTGTGTCAATGTCGTCTTCATTCGAATCCTTATCTGGATTGGGTTGAGTGTTGGGAACACAAGCACGGGAATTGAGCATGTGTCAATGGACGGTGTGCAAGCTATTGTGACCGTCGAGCTACTCTCACGGAATGCCTCAGAGCTGAGTGACAATGATTTCACAGATCTTCTGATCCAGGGTTTCAGCAGGCTGAATATTTCCAGTGGACCGAGTCTGAGAAACGTCACATCATATCGTGAGTCATTAGTCATTGTGTTTTGTGCATGTAATGGTGGATTTGAATGGAGTGTTGTGCTATGCAGCCAGACAGATGGCGTGAGGTTGATTCTACCGTATCGCCTGTCTTCTGCATGTTCCTCTCACTTGTCGATTGGACTGCTGGCTTTCTGTCCACTCGTCCACTGGTCCGTGTGTGCGTGTGCGTGTGCGTGTGCGTGTCGTGCGTGAATGTTTGCCAGCGCATATGTGTGCTTGCGCGCGTGCGTGTGTTTACACCGACATGGGAATCAGGTGTGGAGATGATGAGTGAAAACGACTGTTTCATCTGGTTCGATATGACTGATCGATAGTCTCGTTTGGTGTGGATGGAGATGATGACTATGCGGTTTGACTGAGGTGATGAGGAGAATGATGACTTGTTGCTGTCTGTTGTGGAGCTTTGTGTTCGTGATGCCACGTGATCGCGGTGACACAGATTGTGAACTCATTTTGAGATGTTTTCGAAGTGATGACGAGTGGTTCAATCCTAATTCTCTGTATATGTGTTGTGTTTTTTTGTTTTATTTCTACTGCTGCACAGATCCGTCGGCAAGAATTTCAACTGTGCGGAGCACACCTGAGCAGAGTGATGCCAGTATCTCAAGACAATTCACTTCACCGTCATCGACTGCCACAAGTTTGGGTAGGTTCACAGTTTCGCAGTCACATTTGTTTCGTGGACATTTCGACACGCATTCGCATGTGAAAGATGGATGTTTTGTCAGGGTTGAGTGGATTAGAGTTGACTGATGTGATGATTGATGCTGATGGTGTAAGTGAGTGTGTCTTCGCAAATAGAATGTGAGGTGAAGACTAGTGATCAACACTGACTTCACGATGATTGCTTCTTTGTGTTTGTGTTGTTCTTGTTGTTGTTGTGGTTGTTGTTGTCGCCCTTGTCGTCGGCGTTGCTGATGCTGGCGCTGCTGCTGTTGATGATGACGATGATGATGAAGAAGAAGAAGAATTTGTTATTGTGGTTGTTGTTTGCTTGCTTTCTTTCCTGCTCGATTATGTGTGAATGTGCGCGCGTGCCTGTGTTTGTTCATGAGTCTGAGCGTGATTGTGAATGTGGATGTGTTTTGGAAGGGTGGACTATAGATGTATAGCTATGCATTGCATGTGTGGTGGAATGTATCGGTGTGATTGTGAGTTGGTAGAGGAGGAAGTCGATGCTTAGAATTAGTGAATTGACGTGACGGAAATCGTGATGCTGAAACTGTTTGCTTCATCTCTCTTTTCGTTCCCATTTGTAGAGCCAACGATATTGGACGTGGAATTCGTGATCTACATCGAGGAGCTGTCTACACCGATGCGTTGGACAGACAACCTGACAGATCCAACGACTTCTGAATTCAGAGGCCTGTCGATTTCATCTTGTGACCTGGTAGGTGTGGAGTGGTTATTACGCCTCGGTATCGCTATACTCATATCAGTGTGGCTGTGTATCTGCTATCTAGTTTCCCTTTCTCTCTTGAAAACAATAGGTTGAGTGGTGTTTGACGGTCGAGCGTGGGCAACGTGAGTGTACGAATCTTGGGTTAAGTGTCGGTCGGTGTGAATGAAACAAGCGCATGGGTGATATTCTTCGTGTGATGAGTGGAAGAGCACTGGTTGACTGAGTTGTTTGAGTGTAGGCGATTCGACAGAGAATAGTAGAGACAGAGTGGGTAGGATGAGTTGTTATTGCATGCTGAGTTGGAGAGGGGCAGCGTGGAGTACACTGAGTGTTCTAGGATGTAGAGGAGTGTGTTTCGGAAGTGTGAATTTGTGCGTTGAGGAGGCATACAGAAGCAGGATTATTGTCTGAGTAAGCAGTTGTGCGCGTGACTGGTTCAGTGTTGAGTGAGTTCAGCTGCCATTCTCGGAGGCGAAGTTTCGATTTCACCAACCCGACTGCGGTGAGTTGAGTGGTGAAGACGTCGGGAGTCTGACAGGCTTCTCTGTGTTAGAAGATCTGTCCTCGTGGTCACTGGTGAGAAGCCTGTTCACACTAATCAGCATGATCACGTCAATCGAGGTGAGAAGGGAATTCATGATAGTACACAACCATTTGATATGAAGGAGCATGACTGATTGCGTTTCCCTTCTGATTCTCGTCTTTTATCTTCCAGCTGCTACGAAGCCTACAACTGGCTGACGAAGAGATATCTCGAGGTGCCACTTGTGTCAATGTCGTCTTCATTCGAATCCTTATCTGGATTGGGTTGAGTGTTGGGAACACAAGCACGGGAATTGAGCATGTGTCAATGGACGGTGTGCAAGCTATTGTGACCGTCGAGCTACTCTCACGGAAGGCCTCAGAGCTGAGTGACAATGATTTCACAGATCTTCTGATCCAGGGTTTCAGCAGGCTGAATATTTCCAGTGGACCGAGTCTGAGAAACGTCACATCATATCGTGAGTCATTAGTCATTGTGTTTTGTGCATGTAATGGTGGATTTGAATGGAGTGTTGTGCTATGCAGCCAGACAGATGGCGTGAGGTTGATTCTACCGTATCGCCTGTCTTCTGCATGTTCCTCTCACTTGTCGATTGGACTGCTGGCTTTCTGTCCACTCGTCCACTGGTCCGTGTGTGCGTGTGCGTGTGCGTGTGCGTGTCGTGCGTGAATGTTTGCCAGCGCATATGTGTGCTTGCGCGCGTGCGTGTGTTTACACCGACATGGGAATCAGGTGTGGAGATGATGAGTGAAAACGACTGTTTCATCTGGTTCGATATGACTGATCGATAGTCTCGTTTGGTGTGGATGGAGATGATGACTATGCGGTTTGACTGAGGTGATGAGGAGAATGATGACTTGTTGCTGTCTGTTGTGGAGCTTTGTGTTCGTGATGCCACGTGATCGCGGTGACACAGATTGTGAACTCATTTTGAGATGTTTTCGAAGTGATGACGAGTGGTTCAATCCTAATTCTCTGTATATGTGTTGTGTTTTTTTGTTTTATTTCTACTGCTGCACAGATCCGTCGGCAAGAATTTCAACTGTGCGGAGCACACCTGAGCAGAGTGATGCCAGTATCTCAAGACAATTCACTACACCGTCATCGACTGCCACAAGTTTGGGTAGGTTCACATTTACCTATTCACATTGTGGATTTACTTGTTGTGATATTTTAGTATTTTTGTTGGAATTTTAATTGTTTCTGGCCCACGTTGTATCTATATTTTCATATATTATTATGGTAGTTATGTTTAACTTTGCGCAAAATATCATTAGTATTATAACTGGAATAAATATATTTTGACGGAATGCATCATATTTTAAATAAAATCATATGCAAATTGTACAATCCAGAACAGAAATTGATTTGAATAAAATACTGTAGAAATTCAGCGCCACCGCCACGACGACCACGACGCCAGAGTCGGTGACGGTGACGCCAATGACGATGGCGACGATAACCAGCCCACAATCAACCACTGCTCCATTCGGTAGGTTCACATTCTCCATGGGATTTGTGTCTCTCGAACACTGACTGTGACACGCGTGTTTGCATGTCACGAGTGATTGTGGTGTGCAGTGTGATCGTTTGTCTGTCAGGCGGTTGTGACAGAGTTGTGATGTGCACACTCCTTGTTTCACTGGTCGGTCGACTGTCCGCCAGTCGTCCCGTCTCACCGGCGTCTCCACCTGTGCTTGTCCACTGTTCGATGGATTGAGTCTCGAGACAGTTTCATGTGTGCGTGTGTGTGTGTGCGCGTGGGTGTGTGGTTGTGCGGTTGGGTGTGCTCGAGGTGAGTACGACCTGATCATCTGTGATTCCATGTTGCCTCACACTGTCTACTTGAATTTCGAGAATCTCACATCACGTCTATCCGTGGTAGGGTGAGAGAGCCAGCGACTGAGTGAGTGAGATTTGTGTGAGTGTGTGTGTGTGTGCGGGCGGGCGCTTGGTATTATTATCGACTTCATTCGGTGATGACGAACACCATGGTGGCAGGAAGGAATAACCATGTGTGCAGTTTGCTGATGGCGGTTGATGATGGCGTTGTGTCGTCCAGATGAGGCGGTTGACTTGTTTCCGCGATTTGTGTGTGTGTGTGCATGCGGCGTGCGTGCGTAGGTGTAGGTGTGCCTGCGTCTGTGGTTTGTTGTGTGTTTGTGTGACTTTGTATTTGAGTGTGTGACTTGCAGGTGTGTAGGTGTTTGTGGAAGTAGGTATGCATGGATTAACGTGTGTGTTTGTTTGCTTTGTTCACCTGTGCACAGACGCGTCTACAATCACCACGACATCGAGAAGTAGCGTTGAGCCCACAGACACAAGTGTCTCCACACAATCCACGTCACTGACGTCGACGGAGACTATGACGGCTACGACGGGTACTGCGATAGTGACAGCGACAGAGGCAGCCACCCCGACGACGGCATCGACACCGACACTGACACAGACAGCCATGGTGGCAGCGACAGTCCCAGCGGCTTCCACCGACACGATGCTCTCCACAACACCGTCGACGATGTCAACGCCGACCACGACCACAACCCACATCACCGTCGCCACTACCAACACCACCGACATCGCCACCGCCACCGCCACGACGACCACGACGCCAGAGTCGGTGACGGTGACGCCAATGACGATGGCGACGAGAACCAGCCCACAATCAACCACTGCTCCATTCGGTAGGTTCACATTCTCCATGGGATTTGTGTCTCTCGAACACTGACTGTGACACGCGTGTTTGCATGTCACGAGTGATTGTGGTGTGCAGTGTGATCGTTTGTCTGTCAGGCGGTTGTGACAGAGTTGTGATGTGCACACTCCTTGTTTCACTGGTCGGTCGACTGTCCGCCAGTCGTCCCGTCTCACCGGCTTCTGCACCTGTGCTTGTCCACTGTTCGATGGATTGAGTCTCGAGACAGTTTCATGTGTGCGTGTGTGTGTGTGCGCGTGGGTGTGTGGTTGTGCGGTTGGGTGTGCTCGAGGTGAGTACGACCTGATCATCTGTGATTCCATGTTGCCTCACACTGTCTACTTGAATTTCGAGAATCTCACATCACGTCTATCCGTGGTAGGGTGAGAGAGCCAGCGACTGAGTGAGTGAGATTTGTGTGAGTGTGTGTGTGTGTGCGGGCGGGCGCTTGGTATTATTATCGACTTCATTCGGTGATGACGAACACCATGGTGGCAGGAAGGAATAACCATGTGTGCAGTTTGCTGATGGCGGTTGATGATGGCGTTGTGTCGTCCAGATGAGGCGGTTGACTTGTTTCCGCGATTTGTGTGTGTGTGTGCATGCGGCGTGCGTGCGTAGGTGTAGGTGTGCCTGCGTCTGTGGTTTGTTGTGTGTTTGTGTGACTTTGTATTTGAGTGTGTGACTTGCAGGTGTGTAGGTGTTTGTGGAAGTAGGTATGCATGGATTAACGTGTGTGTTTGTTTGCTTTGTTCACCTGTGCACAGACGCGTCTACAATCACCACGACATCGAGAAGTAGCGTTGAGCCCACAGACACAAGTGTCTCCACACAATCCACGTCACTGACGTCGACGGAGACTATGACGGCTACGACGGGTACTGCGATAGTGACAGCGACAGAGGCAGCCACCCCGACGACGGCATCGACACCGACACTGACACAGACAGCCATGGTGGCAGCGACAGTCCCAGCGGCTTCCACCGACACGATGCTCTCCACAACACCGTCGACGATGTCAACGCCGACCACGACCACAACCCACATCACCGTCGCCACTACCAACACCACCGACATCGCCACCGCCACCGCCACGACGACCACGACGCCAGAGTCGGTGACGGTGACGCCAATGACGATGGCGACGATAACCAGCCCACAATCAACCACTGCTCCATTCGGTAGGTTCACATTCTCCATGGGATTTGTGTCTCTCGAACACTGACTGTGACACGCGTGTTTGCATGTCACGAGTGATTGTGGTGTGCAGTGTGATCGTTTGTCTGTCAGGCGGTTGTGACAGAGTTGTGATGTGCACACTCCTTGTTTCACTGGTCGGTCGACTGTCCGCCAGTCGTCCCGTCTCACCGGCGTCTCCACCTGTGCTTGTCCACTGTTCGATGGATTGAGTCTCGAGACAGTTTCATGTGTGCGTGTGTGTGTGTGCGCGTGGGTGTGTGGTTGTGCGGTTGGGTGTGCTCGAGGTGAGTACGACCTGATCATCTGTGATTCCATGTTGCCTCACACTGTCTACTTGAATTTCGAGAATCTCACATCACGTCTATCCGTGGTAGGGTGAGAGAGCCAGCGACTGAGTGAGTGAGATTTGTGTGAGTGTGTGTGTGTGTGCGGGCGGGCGCTTGGTATTATTATCGACTTCATTCGGTGATGACGAACACCATGGTGGCAGGAAGGAATAACCATGTGTGCAGTTTGCTGATGGCGGTTGATGATGGCGTTGTGTCGTCCAGATGAGGCGGTTGACTTGTTTCCGCGATTTGTGTGTGTGTGTGCATGCGGCGTGCGTGCGTAGGTGTAGGTGTGCCTGCGTCTGTGGTTTGTTGTGTGTTTGTGTGACTTTGTATTTGAGTGTGTGACTTGCAGGTGTGTAGGTGTTTGTGGAAGTAGGTATGCATGGATTAACGTGTGTGTTTGTTTGCTTTGTTCACCTGTGCACAGACGCGTCTACAATCACCACGACATCGAGAAGTAGCGTTGAGCCCACAGACACAAGTGTCTCCACACAATCCACGTCACTGACGTCGACGGAGACTATGACGGCTACGACGGGTACTGCGATAGTGACAGCGACAGAGGCAGCCACCCCGACGACGGCATCGACACCGACACTGACACAGACAGCCATGGTGGCAGCGACAGTCCCAGCGGCTTCCACCGACACGATGCTCTCCACAACACCGTCGACGATGTCAACGCCGACCACGACCACAACCCACATCACCGTCGCCACTACCAACACCACCGACATCGCCACCGCCACCGCCACGACGACCACGACGCCAGAGTCGGTGACGGTGACGCCAATGACGATGGCGACGATAACCAGCCCACAATCAACCACTGCTCCATTCGGTAGGTTCACATTCTCCATGGGATTTGTGTCTCTCGAACACTGACTGTGACACGCGTGTTTGCATGTCACGAGTGATTGTGGTGTGCAGTGTGATCGTTTGTCTGTCAGGCGGTTGTGACAGAGTTGTGATGTGCACACTCCCTGTTTCACTGGTCGGTCGACTGTCCGCCAGTCGTCCCGTCTCACCGGCGTCTCCACCTGTGCTTGTCCACTGTTCGATGGATTGAGTCTCGAGACAGTTTCATGTGTGCGTGTGTGTGTGTGCGCGTGGGTGTGTGGTTGTGCGGTTGGGTGTGCTCGAGGTGAGTACGACCTGATCATCTGTGATTCCATGTTGCCTCACACTGTCTACTTGAATTTCGAGAATCTCACATCACGTCTATCCGTGGTAGGGTGAGAGAGCCAGCGACTGAGTGAGTGAGATTTGTGTGAGTGTGTGTGTGTGTGCGGGCGGGCGCTTGGTATTATTATCGACTTCATTCGGTGATGACGAACACCATGGTGGCAGGAAGGAATAACCATGTGTGCAGTTTGCTGATGGCGGTTGATGATGGCGTTGTGTCGTCCAGATGAGGCGGTTGACTTGTTTCCGCGATTTGTGTGTGTGTGTGCATGCGGCGTGCGTGCGTAGGTGTAGGTGTGCCTGCGTCTGTGGTTTGTTGTGTGTTTGTGTGACTTTGTATTTGAGTGTGTGACTTGCAGGTGTGTAGGTGTTTGTGGAAGTAGGTATGCATGGATTAACGTGTGTGTTTGTTTGCTTTGTTCACCTGTGCACAGACGCGTCTACAATCACCACGACATCGAGAAGTAGCGTTGAGCCCACAGACACAAGTGTCTCCACACAATCCACGTCACTGACGTCGACGGAGACTATGACGGCTACGACGGGTACTGCGATAGTGACAGCGACAGAGGCAGCCACCCCGACGACGGCATCGACACCGACACTGACACAGACAGCCATGGTGGCAGCGACAGTCCCAGCGGCTTCCACCGACACGATGCTCTCCACAACACCGTCGACGATGTCAACGCCGACCACGACCACAACCCACATCACCGTCGCCACTACCAACACCACCGACATCGCCACCGCCACCGCCACGACGACCACGACGCCAGAGTCGG